TCACCTTAAATTCATGGCCACTAACTCCCAATGTGCCCTTTGTGCTATCTGGTAAGCGTGCTACATCTTCAGGGTCTTGTTGTGTTGCCCAGGCTGGTCTTGGACCCCTGGGCTTAAGTGATCCTCCTGCCTCATCCTGTATCTCACCAGTTCACTGTTATTTTCTTAGATTATCCTTTCACTCATTCTCCTCTTTCCTTAAACATTTAATACTTCCTATGCTTTCTTCACTCTCAGCTGATACCTGTCTTTCTTGTTTCATTGAGACAATGGAAACAATCAGAAGAAAACTTCTATACATTTCTACATCTACCTTTCCTGCATCTATGTCTTCATTCCTATATTGTAGGTAAACTGTCTATATACCTATCTAAGGGCAATCCCTCCACTTATGCACCAGATCTATTTCCTGTTGCCCGATCAAGACATCACTCTGGTAATTGTCCCCTCTCCTGCATCATCAGTTTTTTTCTTCCCTACTAAATTGTTTCCATCAGCATTTAAAATCTCCCATCTTACGAAACCCTCTCATAATCCCACATTCATCTCCAACTAATGTCCAATTTCTCTGCTGCCCTTTAAAGAAAGGCTCTTTGATAGAACTCTCTCTACTCAAAAATATATGGACAGATCCAACTTATTTTAGGTTTTAATACTTCCTATTGTCTTCATCACTACCACCCTAGTACAAGCCCTATCATCTTGCTTGTTTGTACCACTGCAAGACCCCCCTGCCGTGACTTTTCTTTTTCAAGATAGAGTCATGCTCTGTCACCCAGGCTGGAGTGCAGTGGCAGGTTGCTCGCTGCAACTTCCACCTCCTGGGTTAATGCAATTCTCCTCCCTCAGTCTCCTGAGTAGCTTGGATTACAGGCATGTACCACCATACCCAGCTAATTTTTGTATTTTTAGTAGAGACAGGGTTTCACTATGTTGATCAGGCTAGTGTTGAACTCCTCACCTTGTGATCCACCCACCTCAGCCTCCCAAAGTGCTGGGATTACAGGCATGAGCCACCTCGCCTAGCTGCAAGACCCTCTTAATTGTTTTCCCTGGTTTCTCTCTTGCACCTCTATTTTCTTTCTTTTCTTTTTTTTTCTTCTCTCTTTCTTTCATAAAGATGGGGTCTTGCTACTTTGCCTGAGCTGGTCATGAACTCCTGGACTCAAGAGATCCTCCCACCTCAGCCTCCCAAAGTACTGGGATTATAGGCATGAGCCACCATACCCAGCCAGTCTATTTTCTATGCATCTGTCAGAACAATCCTTTAAAAATATGAGAGACCATGTTTTCCTCTGCCCCAAAATGTATAATGCCCTTTTTATCAACTTAGAAAAAAATCTAAATTCTTTGCCCTGTTCTAAAGACACATATTCTGGCTATCTACCTAACCTCATTTCTTATATTCTCTCCCTTACATAGCTTCAGCCATGATAGTCTCCCTTTCTCTTTCCTCTACCCTTCCAATTCTCTCACTCTGTTACTCAGGCTGGAAGTGCAGTGGCATAATCTCAGCTTACTGCAACCTCCGCCTTCCAGGCTCAAGTGATCCTCCCACCTCAGCCTCCTGAGTAGCTGGGGCCACAAGTGCATGCCACCATGTTTGGTTAGTTTTTGTAGTTTTTGTAGAGATTGTATTTCACCTTGTTATCCAGGTTGGTCTTGAACTCTTGGACCCAAGCGATTACAGCCGTGAGCCACTGTAGCTGGCCCATGATGTTTTGTTTTTTTTGCTTGTTTGTTTGTTTTTGCTCTTCCTTGAGCATACAGGCACAAACCTGCTTCAGGGACTTTCTACTGATATTTCATCTGCCCAGAGGATCATTTCCCAGACATTTACATAGTTTGTTCTTTTTTTTTTTGAGATGGAGTTTCGCTCGTTACCCAGGCTGTAGTGCAATGACGCAATCTCAGCTCACCGCAACCTCCGCCTCCTGGGTTCAGGCAATTCTCCTGCCTCAGCCTCCTGAGTAGCTGGGATTACAGGCACACGCCACCATGCCCAGCTAATTTTTTTGTATTTTTAGTAGAGACGGGGTTTCACCATGTTGACCAGGATGGTCTCGATCTCTTGACCTTGTGATCCACCTGCCTCAGCCTCCCAAAGTGCTGGGATTATAGGCTTGAGCCACCGCACCCGGCCAGTTTGTTCTTATATATCATTAAAGCCTTTACTCAAATGTCTGTCTTCAGAGAGACCTGACTACTCTGCTTTATTTTCTTTTATGACATTTTGCTAACTGATGTATTTGTTGAATGAGTGCAAGGACTTTCTTTTGCTCACTGCTGTATGCCCAATGCCTAGAATAATACTTGGCATGTGATTAGGCACTGATATACTTGTTGAATGAATCTTTTTGCTTCTTTTATACCTCTTTAGCATATAGAACAGTGCTGAATACAAGTAAGTGCTTGATAAGTATTGAAATGGGGTGGAAACAGCATAATCTACAGAACATAAATTGGATTCCATCAGTTTCTTAAAGCAGAACCCTTATATCTGGCAGTCATTCAACAAAGGTTTACATCTCTAAAATGTGTGTGTGGGGGTATTCCTAAATACTCCACTAAGCTGTTCCAAGAATTAGATGAGAAAACCTTTATGAAAGCACCCAGTTTTTTGTATTTTGTTAAATATAAAGTACTCAAAATTATGAAGTGAATAAACAGGCTCCAAAGATACCAAGTTCAGGAGTGACTCTATCTGCAGATGAAGCATACTTTGAGATCGATGAATGTCCAGATGAAGTAGCCTTATTAATATGATTCTGAGGAAGGAGAATTACTATTGTTTTTTTTTTTTTAGAGCTAGGGTCTTTCTATGTCTTGCCAGACTGGCCTTGAAGTCCTGGGCTCAAGGGATCCTCCTGAGTAGCTGAGACTACAGCTGTATGCCACTGTACCTGGCCTTACTATTACATTTAATTTAACTTTCCATCTGAGCAGGGAACCTAGAAAAAAGCATACATAGCACCTGATTAGTCTCACTTCAAATTCATGATCTCCTGCCTCATGAGGGGCCTTAATGTCCCCAGCAACCCTATCGCTGTTCCCTAGTCCATTTACTCTCCTACTCTCCTAGATTAGTATTTTATACCTTCTTTCTACCTTCCTTTCTTTAATACCTCTTTCTTCCTCCTCTTGGATGATGACTTTGTTATGCATTTTACTTCAAAAATAGAAACAATTAGGGAGACCCTCCAAATGTTCCCTGTGCTTACACCTGGGCCCCTAAGCTCTGCCTTCCCTCCAGTTCCTGTGGGTAAGCTAGTCTGGCTCCTATTCAAGGCCAGCCACCTACTGATGCATTAGATCTCATCCCCTCTCTCCTATTCCAGTAATGATCCTCTTTCTCTCCTACAGTTTTTACTTGCCTACTGGATCATTTCCATAAGAACACAAACATTTTGTAATTCTGTCATCTTAAATAAGATCTTGTGACCCCCATATTCACCAAATGTTATACTCCCATTCCTGTTTTTGGAATTATGTCTGTATTTGCTGTTGCAATTTCTCTCTTCCTTTGTCCTCTTGAGCCCGTTACAATCATTCCCTCCTCTTGCTCCCCTCCTTCACGGAAACTTCTCTTATCAATGCCACCAGTGATCTCCCCACAGCAAAACTCAATGGTCAATCCCGTTCTCATCTTGCTTGGCTTACCTGCAGAATTAGACATAGTCATTCTCTACTCCCTGAAATATTTTCTTCACATGGCTTCTACATTACTGTAATCTCTTGGCTTTTCTTCTACCTGGCTCTTCTCTATCGTGTTGATTTTTCTTCATTTCTGCAATTCTAATCAGTGGGATGCCCTAGGATTTGATCCTCTTCTCTATCTGAACTCACTTTCTTGGTGATCCCATTCAGTCTCATGGCTTTAAAAGCTATCCCTATACCAATAGCTTCCTAATTTATATCTGTAACCCATGACCTTCTTTTTTAACTCAAATATTTAATTGTTTATAAAAGCATTTTTCTTGGATAATTGTCATCTCAAACTTGTTAAAAATAAGTTCCTTATCCTCCCCCTAAATCTCCTCTCCCTTTTTTCTACATCTCAGGAAATGGCAACTCTATTTTTTTCAGATCATCAGGCCAAAATTTGGAATCATCCTTGACCTTTCTCTTTCTCACAATGCCATTTTTTGAATCAACAAATCATATTGGTCATAGCTGGAAAATATACCCAGAATCCAATCATTTACCGTCTTCACCACCACCATGCTGATTCAAGCTACCATCGTTTCTTGCTTGGTTTTCTGCAATACCCTCTTAACAGACTTCTCTGCCTCCTTTCTCATTTCCATTTTATGCAAATCAGAGGTCTCCAGTGACTTCTCATCTCACTTGTAGTCACAGTCAAACTCCTTAGAAAGACTTCTAAAGCCCTACATAATCTGCTTCCACCCCCAGTTAACTATGTTCTCATCTCCATTAATCTTTCCTCCTTCCTCTCTCCACTCCAGCTGTACTGGTCTGCTATCCCGCAAACAGGCTAGTCACACTTCCAACCCAGAGCCCTTGAAAACTCCAGCCAGTTATCTATGAGCCTTACTTCCTCATTTCCTTCAGCTCTTTGGTCAAATGCTGCTTTTCAGAGAAGCTTTTCCTGACTACTCTGTGTAAAACTGTATTCTTCAATTTCCACCCCAGTACTTACTACCTCCTTTCCTTCCCTTTTCTCCATAGCACTTATCATCATAGTTGTCATTTTATGTGCTTTATTTGTCTCTGTATATACTGGAATGTAAGCTCCATGAAGGCAGAATTTCTTTGTCTGTTTTGTCCTCTACACTTGCTAGCATCAATAAATCTTTGTTGAATAAATTTTGATGATTTTTCATCTGGTCTCTGATCTCCAGACTCACTTTTTCAAAAGACTAAGGGAATGCACCTGGTAATAGGAGGGCTTGAGAGTATATAAGTGGTCTAAGGTGATGGCACCTTCAAAATACTTCCACGAATATCTAATATTCTGATATTCTGATTTTTTTTTCCAGCTTAATACCGAAACATCCCCAGCAACCAACCAGGCAGCTGGCCCAGAGGAAAAAGGTGAGTAGGGTTGGGCTAGGCTGTTTATAGAGCAGGTAACTGTAGAGACATGAAGACAAGTAGAAAGAGTCTGGAATTTCCTAAAGTCAGACATGGAAGGAATAAGAACATGGATAAGTGAAACAAAGGACCAGGTTAGAACTATAGTACTGTATCTATAGGCTTCCTTCTACTTTTCCTAGTAAGTAAACCTATAGTACTTACTCTTTGATTTTAGAAACTGAGTCTGGAGTGTTGGGAGAGAGGGGTACAAGGTAAGAAACTTATCAAAAGTCCCAGCATTATCTCCATCAGAAATTGAGGGAAAGCTGAGGAAAGCGAGTGTGCTTTGGGACTTGAACTGTACGATTTATGAATGAGTGATAGAAGAAGACATTTGTTGTTTATTTCAAGAGTAGCAGAACTCCTTTAAGTAACTATAGCTAATTCCCAGCCTAAGTACCTTGACTCAAACTTCTAGAGGAATTATGAGGCATTCATAGTCCTAGCAAAAATTGGGGGACCCCACAGTCTGGCACAAAATGGACCTCACCTCACTGTATTGGGGGCCTGGAGAAAGGGGCTGGAGCAGCTCAGGTTGACTTATTAATGAGTCTCCCAACTATCTGCAGGAAAAGCTGGCAATGCCAAGAAGGCAGAGGAGGAGGAGGAGATTGACATTGATCTGACAGCACCAGAAACAGAGAAGGCTGCCCTTGCTATTCAGGGCAAGTTTCGGCGATTTCAGAAAAGGAAAAAGGATCCCAGCTCCTGAATGGCCAGCCTTGCCCTTCACCTTCCCCCTGGCCCCTTCTCTCCCCTTCTTCACAGCCCTGACTCCCGTGCATCTTTGTCCCTTGTCCCTCCAGCCTTTCCTTGAGGCAAGTTCAACCCTTATATATTCTTGTATCTGGCCCCCTTAAGCCATCACAGAAGTAGAGGCACAAGAGAGGTGGAGAAGATGAAGACTTCAATCAGCAGCCACTTGTCTAAGGGTGGAACAATTTCTTCTTGGGATAAGGTTCTTTGATCAGTAGCTATGCCTGTCCTGTAGAATTAAACAAGAGGCTCTGAGGCTGAGAGAGCTCCCCAACTGCAATGTGGGAAGGAGGGGAAGGCCTTCAAAGTAGGGTACTTGAGGGTGGAACATATGCACTGTTCTGCTAGTTACAGCATTCACACTTCAGGTAACATTTTTTTCCCCTTTCAGATCCTTCTGCACCAACTCCAACTTCCCCTCCCAGGATCTAAGCCACAGTGGGGATGGGGGCCTCCCTTTCTCCCTAGGCAGACCTCAATCAAGCAGCTTACCACATAGTGCATGCTAAATAGATTAGTTCCAAGGAAGGGAGACTGGAATGGTGGTGTCAAGGAAAACGCTCCCTCATCATCTAGTCTAGGACCATAAGGGGCAGAAGCAGAAGAGGTTCTAGGGCCCCAGGCCGGGGAATGAGAAGTAGGGTAGATATAGGGAGGAAAGAACAGTGAAGAAGCGGGGCCGGGCACGGTGGCTCACACCTGTAATCCCAGCACCTTGGGAGGCTGAGGTGGGTGGAGTTCGAGACCAGCCTGACCAACATGAAGAAACCCCATCTCTACTAAAAATACAAAGTTAGCTGGGCGTAGTGGTACATGCCTGTAATCCCAGCTACTCAGGAGGCTGAGGCAGGAGAATTGTTTGAACCCAGGAAGTGGAGGTTGTGGTGAGCCGAGATTGTACCACTGTACTCCAGCCTGGGCAACAAGAGCAAAACTTCATCTTAAAAAAAAAAAAAAAGAAAAACGAAGGAGGGGAAATCTCTGAAACACATTACTACTGGGAAAAGGGTACTACATGAAGGATTCTTGGGGCTTTGCTAACCTGCCTGGCTCTATTTCCCAAGTCTAGCCATCCCCAGAAACCACACAAACCAAGTGACTCCTGTAGTTCCCATTTGCCCCACCGTGGATTGGAGTCGGGGCAAAAATGGAATAGCCACTCTGTGATTTTAGCATGTTTAATAATTATGACAATAAACCTCCCCCTCCCATCCACAAATGGGGTCGTTTAACCTCTACTAATGTTTTTTCTTGGGAGGAATGTGAATATAAGCCTGAGGGGCCTCAGGGAGTGGGGTGGAACAACTGCATTGATTGTGTGGTGGCACAAGAAACTAACACTGCCTGAGCAATTTTCAGACTGAAGCCAACCCTGCCTCCCCCCACCCCTACCGATCTTGCCCTCACCTTGATTTGCCACCCACACTGTCTCTGTGTTGCTGTCACCGCCCCCAGGGTGCACCTGCAAGAGTGCTCATCTTCCCTTTCTCCTTCCAGCTGACAGCGTGCTGGGTACGCATCCCTCTGAAAACAAACTTAGTCTTTTTTGCTCCAGATTCCCAAATGACCTATCTTAGATTTCCTTCTTGCTTTGTCTTCTTACCACATTCTCCCCTCCCCTCCCTCTGTTTATCAAATGCAAGGGAAGGAAAAGACTCTGCTGGTCACTAGAGAGCACCACGGTTGCACTAAAATTTTAAACCACGAGTTACATAAAATGATGGCTTTTAAGTAGCTTACATTGCTGAGAAATTACCTCTATACACTAAAACCAGAAGCCAAATGCTTAAAGATTGAGCAAAGAATGATCCTTTTTTTTGTCACTCCCTTCCCTTTTTAATTTTTTTTTCCTTTTCAATTGTTTTTATCGTGGTAAAACAAAATTTTCCATCTTAACCATTTTGAAGTACAGTTTAGTGGCATCAAATACATTCAGTAATACTGTGTAACTATCATGACTATCCATCTCTGTAACTCTTTTCACCTTGTAAAGCAAACTCTACATCTATACCCTTTAGACAATAACTCTCCATTTCCTCTCTTCCCAGCCTCTGGCAGCCACCATTCGACTTATCCCTGAGTCCCCTTCTTCATATTTAAGACCATTTATGGTGGTCTTTGGTCCCTTCTTGATTTAAGAATATAGAAGTCAGGCCAGGTGCAGTGGTTCACGCCTATAATCCCAGCACTTTAGGAGGCCGAGATGGGTGGATCACCTGAGGTCAGGAGTTTGAGACCAGCCCGGCCAACATGGTAAAATCCCATCTCTACTAAAAAAATACAAACTTAGCTGGGCATGGTGGCAAATGCCTGTAATCCCAGCTACTTGGGAGCCTGAGGCAGGAGAATCGCTTGAACCCGAGAGGCAGAGGTTGTAGTGAGCAGAGATGATACCACTGCACTCCAGCCTGTGTGACAAGAGTGAAACTTCATCTCAAAAAAATAATATAGAAGTCAGCTGGAGGCCGGGCATGGTGGCTCATGCCTGTAATCCCAGAACTTTGGAAGGCTGAGGCAGGTGGATCACCTTAAGTTGGGAGTTTGAGAACAGCCTGACCAACATGCAGAAACCTTGTCTCTACTAAAAATACAAAATTAGCCAGGTGTGGTGGCGCATGCCTATAATCCCAGCTACTCGGGAAGTGAGGTAGGAGAATCACTTGAACCTGGGAGGCGGAGGTTGTGGTGAGCCAAGATCATGCTGTTGCACTCCAGCCTGGGCAACAAGAGCGAAACTCCATCTCAAAAAAAAAAAAAAAAAAAAAAAAAAAAAAGTCAGCTGGGCATGATGGTGCATGCCTATAATCCCATTTACTTGGGAGGCTGAGGTAGGAGGATCATTTGAGCCCAGGAGTTCAAGATTGCCATGGGCTATGATCGCACCACTGCACTCCAGCCTGAGTGACAGAGGGAGACCCTGTTTCTGAAAAAAAAAATTGTGTGTGTAAACCATGTGGCAGCTATGACTGGGAAGCAAGGGACAGTAACCCTAAAAGGTAACCTACAGCTCAAAGTTTACTCACGCCTAGCAAGCCCACTGCCATAGGATATTAGGAGAATTGACCAGTAATTCATGGGAAGGCCCTATGTTAAAGGAATTCCCCCTTTCTCCTGATGCCAGGGAAAAGGAGGAAATTTTACTGTTACTTTTGAAGTCTGTTCTGAGTACAATATGGTAATGATGGTGGTCTTTGGTCCCAGCCTCAAAGGCAAATGAAAGGATAAACTCATTGCCACATCTGCTATGTGTCCAATACATCTGGCAAAGCTGTGTATTCCCTCTTCCCTTGTTCTATGGACACAGATGAGAATGGACTGGTGCATTACCTGGTCTCCCCCTGTGGGCATTAAGGTAAGGCAAGGGCTTCCTGTTTCTGGTGAATTGAGCTTTTGTGGCTGATGCTAAGGCAATCCTGGAGTTCTTTGCCACCAGCTCCTCTCCTGCAGACTCAGCCGCTTGGGAGTATCTGTTGATTTGTTTTTTGCCACACTGATCTGGAGCACAGTGCTGAAATTATTTTTCCCTTTACCATCTCTTGCTTTAAAAATGTTAGGCTTGTTCTCCTATTTTTAATAAAGGGCATGGTAGCGAAAACAGTCATTGCTTTGGGAAAGATAGTTCTGACCAGAAAGAGAGACTTGAACATCTTTTGCTGAACCAATGGTAATTCTCAGTGAAAGTTCTGAACATGGTATTCTCTGTGCCAGGCTACCTATTCCTACCATGGGCACTCAAACTGATCCTTTACTCTCTAGCATGCCTATAACTCCTCCCTGGGGCCCTGAGCTGAGGTTGGGATCTTGGGACTCTAGAAACTTGCTTCTCTTCCCTGTCCTTCTGGTACCTACTATTGAAGAACCAATTCTCAAATACTAATCACTGAGGAATTATTCTTGAGTGCTTTCTTTTGTGGAGCAAAAACTGAGTCTTTGGGGAATTGATGAAAGCCTTTATAAATGGCTTAGCAGAAAATACAGGCATAAGAACAGCCAAGGAAGAAAGCTAAAAATAAAAAACTCATTTTGAAAAATATTCAGCACTTCTGACACCAAATGTTTGAGTTTTCTTTTTCTCTTTCTATTAGGCAATTATCCAACTCTGGACACCAGCAGGGTGTCCTACCAATCCAATTGTGACACTCGCTATCCAGACCTCACATGAATTGCAAGTCTCAAATTGTGACCTATACTTCTGGCAAACTGGCTGTATATCAGGGGTTCCCCATGCCTCATGGGAACCATCAGGTTCAGTAATTTTCTAAAATGGCTCATAGAACTCAGGAAACTGCTTTGCTTACTGTTACTGGTTTATTATAAACGATGCAACTCAGGAACAACCAAATGCAAGAGATGCATAAAGCAAAGTATGGGAATGAGGGGTGCATGGGACATCCATGCCCTCCCTGGTGTGCCACCCTCCCAGCACCTCCATGTGTTCACCCGAAGCTCTCTGAATCTCAAGCCCCATGTTTAAGGTGCTTATGGAGGCATTATTATGTAGGGATGGTTGATTGAATCATTGACCATTGTTGATTAAGTCAATCTCCAGTCTCTCTGCCTTTCCTGAAGGCCTGGTGGGGGGTGGGAGGGCTGAAAGTTCCAAACCTCTAATCACAAGGTTGGTTTCTCTGGCAACCAGGCTTTCATCCTCCGAAGAGTCACGTCATTAACATAAGCACAGGTAAGGTTGAAAGGGGCTTATTACAAATTATAAAAGATGCTCTTCCTCTTAACACTCAAGAATTTCTTAAAAAATTTTTTTAATTAAAAAATTTGTTTCTAGAGATGAGGTCTCACTATGTTGCCCAGTCTTCAGTGCAGTGGCTATTCACAGGTGCAATCCTCCCACCTCAGCCTCCTGAGAAACTGGGACTATAGGCATGTGCCACTGCACCTGGCTCACTTAGGAAATTCTAAGGGTTTTAGGAGCTCTGTGCTTGGACCTGCTGTGCCAAAACTGGAGGAGGATAACCAAATATATATTTCTTATTATATCACAATATCAAATCCATATCGCTGATATCTGTTTTGGTGTTTTTTTTTTGACTGTGTAGGGGTGGCAGAGCTGGGATTATAGTCCCATCTATACGTGGGAGAGGTCTGGCAATCCAAGCAGGGGATGTACTTGTAAATATGTTCCCAAAGTCCAAATATGAAGATCTTGGTGAAGTTTCAGTCAGCTAAAGGTAGAAGGATTCTGCTCCCTGGACAATCCTGCAATTCTAATTTCAGAGACTTGGTGTTGCTGCCGGGTAGGACCCTCCACATTCCTTGATCTTGCCCCAATCTAGAACTAGCTCTTTCCACTTCCATCTTTTCCATCTCCTCCTCTTGCAACTAATCCTTGCCCTAATGTCCTTTTTGGGAGGTGTGCTCTGTGCCCACCTCTTTGCCATTCTCTCCACCCTCTTGCCCTTGCTGAGTTTCCCTTATTTTTGGAACTGTTTGCAGTGGGAGTGGCTCCTGGCAGCTTCTTTGTCCCTGCTGTACTCAGTCCCTGACAACTTGCCCTCGCTGGAATCACTCTCCAGTGAGCTGCTGTCTCCCTTCACCATCTTATCTCCAGATGTAGCGCCTCTGCTGCTTGTGCCTCTGAAAATTGAGGGTGGGGGACAGGAGGTTTGCTTTTTGTAGTAAAATGGCGCCTTTCTTTCTGGTTGTTTAGGTGGCAGCTCTGACTCCAGATCTACAAAGGCAGAGATTCACAGTCCACAGACAAGCAGAAA